TCAGAAGTAACTGCTCCGAAAGACTCTCAGAGGAACTGAAAATTCTGCACGAGTAGGAACACTACTTGCGACACAGCTCCAACAGTACTGCGGCAAAATATTTTCGTTTCAATACTGCTCCTCATGGGTGGCGCTGTTGCGGCGGGGTCGTGGTCATACTGTTGGGCGAATCAAGCGAATTGACGATGGAGGTGGTAACGAGTAGTAACAAGAGGAAGACGACGATGGCAATGACCGATAACCTGTACTCAACCATTACAGTCAATATCCTTGAACAAAACCTAGGGTCAAATGACGCCATATGCATCAGCTTCTTTGTCCGTACATGCCAAAAAAGTTGGGAAGAACCGAAACAGCTACTGCTCTCCCTCCCTTCCATACAACCAAAACACTCTGCAAATGTCGGTTGATGTCGCTCATACTCTTGAAGATAGCGGGCACAACTCCAGCTGTAACTCTTGAACTGCTCCTCATACCCACCGAAATTGTCGGAACCACTCGGTACTTAGCAAATACCGTAACTCAGCTTTACAGCTGTTGGTAAAAATGCCCAGGCATCACGGCGTCCTTTAGCAGCACCCCCACGGTTACTCCACCAGCAGTACACATGAGCCGAACCCTTTATATTAGGGATTTACCGGATTCCACTGCCTCGGCATGATGTTTTGGCTGTCGATCAAGGTCAATGCACATCAAACGCCGTCGATCTCTGCCCAACTATTACCCAAGTGTAACATACTCTGGTACCCAACTCGCGGCTGCTTCAAGTTACCCAGAATCGCTTCGCTGCTGCTTAACTAACTAGGAGAATCCGCAGAGATAGGAGTGCGCACGCTTCTACAGTAGTAAGAGGAGCTTTAACGAGCTCGTCTACTGACCGCTGGACAGCTCCCTCTTCCGTCGGAAACTCGTCAAACTACACCCGCAAAAATCGCAACCTCCTTCTGCTGCACCACGTGAAACCCTCAGCTCCACGGCAACAGTAACTTGTGAAATTTTGGGGACACTCCATCAGCACAGTGTAGTTCACAGGTTCACCCCCTTATTAAGCTAGAAGCCGTCGATTAATAAGTCGACACTGCTACCTAGTGGGAATGGTGATTTCCGGGCGACGTAGCTGAGCGAGTAGCAGCCCGAACGCCGCTAACCCATCTGCTCCTGTACTCCCGTCATTCTTCTCCCATTGCTTCAGCTCCTGATAGTTAATGCAATGGGAGAAGAACACTTAATACACACCCATGGGTGGTGGCCTCCGTTTCCATTGATCGTGGGGGTATGAATCGCTGGTCCACGAAAAACGCCTCCCCACGCGGAAAGTCGCCCTCGCTGAGTACACTCACTCTCGTACAGCGTCATCTCCTCCAGATGGCCGTCGTGGTGAATAGCGCCGAGGTCTTTAATCTCAGCTGCTCCCATACAGCTGCACACCCACAAGTCCTCGTGCGATCGTGTCGTTCTGAAATTGTCCCGCCCATTGCCGAAATAGTGTTGAAGTCCCGTCCATCGCCTGCAAATAGCCTGCCAGAAACGCCGGGACCCGCGACACAACTACTGTTCACCCTGCCGCTGCATGGTGTGCCAAACATACATCGCCATACATCCCGCCATTTTCGCCACCCCACGCGCTTCTGACGACCAACTCCCGGCCGCCTGAAGACTCCCGTGCACTTGTCTTCTCTTGACGAAGCCTGAGTATTTTTCGGAAGCCAATTCGAAGACTCCGTCCGCACACCCGAAAATCACGAAATCTCTAACGAGCATACCCGAAAGACACGGCGAAAATGTCGCCCACTCTTCGACGGGAAATAATACCGTCTACGCCCAAGGAAGGAGAGGAAAGGCCAATCCTAGCCGTCCATCGTACAGGATCAGACGGCATCAGCAAAGCCCGCACAATTAATCTCCGCAACGTCTGCTCGCCATCAGCATCCTTCCGCCCCCTTCCCCGATAGGGTCTGCTCCCCTACCAGAAGCCTAATGGGCAGGAATGTAGCTCTGATACCAGCCGTTATGAATTATAACTCAGAGTATAGTGCAGAATACTTTAGGGGAACGTGATTACAATATTGTACAGAAAAATGAGGCCTAGGCAATATATAGAGCTTGTTCACCAGGTTGAATGTCGAGGGTTGGACCAGTCAAGGGCTCGATAGTCCCAATGGTGACGGGGTCAAAATGGGTTCGGGGCGACTTGGGATCAGGTTGGGGCCAAAAAGGTCGACGGGGGCTGGTTTGGCGCATGACTTGAGGGCCGAGCCTACGGACGCGAATTGTTCGCGTGTACTTGCAGTGGCGAGCCCAAATAAAGAATCGTAATTCCTTGCACAGACCCCCTGATTTTTTCCCTTTATAATTAACTTCACCACTTTCTTGCCCGGTATATGATAAGACATTGGGGTCTTCTATCCGGGCGTTTACGGAACTTCGTGCAAGCAATATAATTGCATCCAGGCCACTATATGTCAAACATATATTATATATTTCTATAGACTATATACGGTTATGCCTTAGGGAGTACAACCCATTCGGTTATATTCCCTTGTATGCCTTGTTCTAGTCATTCTTTCACTTGAACATGGTATCATGAGTAGGTAGGTCCCCCCGCCCCCCTAGCGCTTCCGCCCTAGGTCCTAGCCGCCTCGTCGCCCCTCGGCCCCGTCACCTTGCGGCCCCGCGGCCCCGTACCCTAGCGGCCCCGCGGCCCCGTCCCAGAGCAGCCCCGCGGCCCCGTCCCCTAGCGGCCCCGCGGACCCGTCCCCTAGCGGCCCCGCGGCCCCGTCACGTAGCGGCCCCCCGGCCCCATCCCCTAGCGGCCTCGCGGACCCGTCACCTAGCGGCCCCGCGGCCCCGTCTGATAGACGCCTCGCCGCCATCCTCGGCCCCTCTGCACCGTACTGCAACTCCCTCCACCGCATAGTACCCCACTGCACCGCACATCACCACTTTCTGCCGCGCTCTCCTGCCCAGTACTGTCTTTCTCCTACTGCTGCAATTATGATGGCAGACTCGGTCTTGCGTTTTGATGCTGAGGGGCAGCCGATTGAGTTCGACTCGTGGCTCATCGACCTCCAGTGACACCTGACTGGTCAGCGGCAGGACGGCCACTCCCTGGCCGTCCACATCGACGGTACACCCAGACGCCCTCGACATCCCGACCCCTCGCACCTACGCTGAAGCCACCTGGGGACCCTAGGCCTCTCACTGGATAGCTGCCATGGAGCAGGAGATGGCATCTTGGAGATCCACTGGTACCTTCGCCGACATAGTTCCCCCACCTGGGGTGAACATAATCGATGGCCGGTGGCTCTTCAAGGTGAAGCGCCCTCCTGGAGAGTCGCCTGTCTTCCAGGCGCGCTGCGTTGCTCGAGGCTTCAGTCAGCGTGAGGGGGTGGACTTCTTTCAGACCTTCGCCCCGACCCCGAAGATGACTACTCTTCAGGAACTAGTAAACGTAGTAGCACAGCGTGACTACGAGCTGCACTCCCTCGACTTCTCCACAGCTTTCCTTCAGGGCAGTCTACACGAGCAGGTCTACTTGCGCTGCCCCCAGGGCTTCTCCGGTACCTTCCCCCCTGGCACCGAGTGGCTACTCCGGCGCCCCGTCTACAGCTTACGACAGGCGCCCCGTGAGTGGCACGACACGCTGCGTGCTACACTTGCTGACTTGCAGTTCTTCCCTTCGTCCGTTCCGGCCAGACTCTGTTCTACATCCTTGTCTACATAGACGATCTGGTCTATCCTACTGCAAACAGAGACGCACTGGCCGCCGTGAAGGCCGAGCTGCTGAGGACACACACCTGCACTGACCTAGGAGAGCTGCGCTGCTGCCTTGGCTTGCAGATCTCCAGGGGCAGAGCCGCGCACACGATCACTCTCTCACAGTCACACTTGATGCGCCAGGTCCTTAAGAGGTTCGGCCTTCAGTTCTCTTCCGCACAGCCCACACCTCTGTCAGTAGACCACAGACTCTCTGCCCCTATCCCTGAAGAGGTTGTAGAGCCTAGTGGTCCCTACGTAGAGCTGGTGGGTTGCCTCATGTACCTGATGACCTGCGCTCGTCCACATCTCGCAAACCTTCTCAGCATCCTAACTCGCTTTGTGGCCACCGGCAGACACTGACCACAGCACTAGTCTGCAGCTAAGTGGGTTTTGTGTGATCTAGCAAGTACATCGGACATGGGGCTAGTGCTAGGAGGACGGAGACCTGTGGTCCTTACCGGGCACACAGACACTTCCTGGGCAGACGACGCCGAGACTCTCAGGTCCTCACAGGGCTACTCCTTTAGCCTTGGTGCAGGTGCCATCTCGTGGAGGTCCACCCGTTCCTCGTCTGTTGCCCAGTCTAGCTGTAAGGCTGAGATCTACGCAGGTGCCATGGCAGCACAGGAGCTCCGCTGGCTGACCTTCTTGCTCACCGACTTGGGTGAGCGGCCTAGCTCTGCCCCGGTTCTGTACGCTGACAACAGGGCCATGATCCTCCTATGTCAGGAGCCACGACTTGAGGGCAGAGCAAAGCACATCCAGCTGCGGTACTTCCTCTTGTGCGATCTGCAGCAGCGTTGCCAGGCTCGTGTAGTACACTTGGCCTCAGGTGCCAACACAGCTGATATCTTTACTAAGGCGCTTGCGCCTAAAGATCATCAGTGGTACTGTGTACAGCTAGGTCTAGTTCCTGTAGACTCTCACTTGCTAGGACCTTGATTGTGTACAAACCTTTATATATATTACCCTGACTGGCCTTGTGGCCTCTTCCCAGTGGCTGGACTAGTAGTGCCACCCTGGTCTTGCAACCTTGTTTGTATTGGTTTAACTGGTCTTTAGACCCTTGCCTCAGAGGCTGGACTAGTAGTGCCATCCTGAGCTGTTTCTCTCTCATCGAGCACTGCCCCTATCCAGTCTAGGGGGTGTCAAACATATATTGTATGTTTCTGTAGACCATACAGGGTTGTGCATTAGGTAGTACAACCCATTAGGTTATATTCCCTTGTATGTCTTGTTATAGTCATTCTTTCACTTGAACACTACATGCCAACGTCCAACAAGGCACCTGCACTTTTAACGTGGAACAGCGAGGCGCATGCTTCCACGACCCACAATCCTCCACACTCAACGTCCCCAATCCAGCCACGCGCTACTAGGCCTCGTAAAAACATCCTACTCCATAGTCAGTTGAGCAGCCTCAGCAACCACATTGCTTCGCTGCTGTTAGCCCGTCCTTGATTCATGTCATCGAGAATTGTTATGTTTCGTCAGTACCTCCCCAAATGTGTCTCCTCCCCCAATCGCCTGCAGGTGCCTTGCGAGGCACCCCTCCAGGCCTCTCTGCCCAGGCCCCTCAGCTCAGGCCTCTCTGCGGCCCTCATATGGGTGCGCAAAAGAGATTTCTTTTTTAGCCCAGAGAGCCGCAGGTAAGGCGTCTAAAAAACAGACAGGCCTCTCTGCGGCTCTCATCATATGGGTATGCAGAGCGGCATGCCCTTGAAGAGCGACTGCTGGCGGCACATCCACCCACGGTTGAGCAGCGGCACGAGGGGCGGGTTGCGCTGGAACTGCGCCACCACGAGCGACGCGCAGCTGTCGCCCGCATTCACTGTGTACTTGCGGTTCTTCACCCCGTTCACTGGCTTCCCACACACCACCGCCCCCACTGGCTTGCCTGCGACACAGATCTGCCAACAGGGAAGGGGGAAATGGGGGGATGTGGGCGGGGCGGGGAGCCGGGAGAGTGCGAGAGTGGGTGAGAGTGAGAGGAGAGAGGTGTGCTTGCGAGTCGGGAGATAGTGGAGAGAGGGAGATTTGGTGCAAGAGTGGCCTGCTTGTGGTGCGAAAGTGTCCCTTGCAGAGGAGGTAGGAAATCAGGAGGGAAGGAAGTCGGGTGTGAGTAGACGAAGGGGAAGAGAGTAACGAAAGAGGGAGGGGGGGCGTACACTTGCACAGCTGCAATACTCTTCAGGTATCAAATGGGGAGAACTTTATGCTGCAGGGTATGTGTGTATGGGGACAATTTCCCCTTGCTCTCTTAACTTCCTTCTCTCCCACTCCCTCCTACTCGCTCCTACTCCCTCCTACTCCCTCCTACTCCCTCCTACTCCCTCCTACTCCCTCCTACTCCCTCCTACTCCCCCACTCTCTCACCCTCTCCCTCCCCTCACCTCTTGGTCGATGCATGCATTCAAGTTAACGCACAGCAGCCGGGGGTAGGAGGATCCCTTTGCTCTCCATACTCCCCCCCCTCCTACTCCCTCCCTTCCTCTCCCCACCCTCACCCTCCAGTCCCTCCCTCCCCTTCCCTCACCTCTTGGTCGATGAGTGCATTCAAGTTGTCGCACAGCAGCCCGGGGTTGAGGCGATACAGCGACAGCCACGAGATGCCGTGGGTGTCTATCATGCTCTCGCACGTGTCCCCCACGCCCACTGCCTGGTACTGCGTGCACATGCGGTGCTCGTCCATCCCCGCCATGCTCTTGCCGCGCTCCACACACACCTGAATAGGGGGAAGGGGTGCAGGAAGGAGAGGGCGAAGGGGCGAGAGAGGGGGGAGTTGGAGGGAGGGTGAGCCGATGGAGAGGCTAAGGGAGGTTGAATAGAGGGTGTGACTGAGAGCAGGAGGGCACGTGAACAAGGGCGGTGGAGGGGGAGGGAGGGAGGATGCAGGAGGAGAGGCCGATGGAGGGTCCTAGGCACTTGGTTGTGAAAGGGGGTAGTTATGGCTTGACCATGGACATGCACACTCTCATGCCCCCCCCCTCCTTCCCCCACCAGCAGGGAGGGTGTGCCTCACCTGGTGCCCCGGCACAAGGTGCGAGCAGTCCAGGCCTGGGTTGAGAGCCACTAGGTCCACGCCAAAGCGCTCCTCTATGCCTGCACAGTCGGGTGCTAGGCTGTCCACCTGGTGGCGTGGCAAGGGAGGGGAGATGGCACCGGGAGTGAAAAGGGGAGAGAGGGTGCAGAGGGTTGTGGCTCCTGGGAGGAAGCTGCAAAGAAAGAAAGATGGAGAAAGGGAGAGTAGCGAAGAGGAGCGGTGAGAAGAGAAGAGAAAAGAAGGGATAAAGGACCAATTAAGGAGGTATGGACGGAGAGTGCACGGGCCAAAGTGTAAATTACCAGTGAGATGGGGTATCTAGTGCGGCAGCTCTGTATGTCGCTGTCTGGCTGCACGTTCAACACCGTGCCTTCCTCTAGGTTGTCACAGTCAATGCCCTGAGGATGCCACGGAGAAAACAACGAAAAGAACAACAGATGGAGGAGGAAAGCAAAGGACACAGGAGGGGTTGGGGATCAAATTAGAAAGAGGGGGGAGAAAGAGGCCAGCGGTGGTGAAGGCAGGGTAGTGGGGAAGGGGGCCGTGATTACAAAGATCATCTGACGCCCTGCTCTAGACTGTCTGATGCATGCGGTGTGGTGCACGTGTGTTGCTGCTCGTGTTCCCCAGGGCTCACACGACTGGCCATGGACGGATCATTGCAGCCGCAGCAACTCACGGGGCTCTCTCTGCTCAACGAGCTGGTCCCCTTCTGTGAGGCTTTTGACCCGCCTCAAACGCAACTTCGGGCAGATATCACTCCCTAAACCTATATTTGAAGAAAAAATGCCACTGCTGTTGCAGCAGCAGCAGCAGCAGCAGCAGCAGCAGCAGCAGCAGCAGCGGCGGCAGCAGAAGCAGCGGCAGCAGCGACAGCAGCAGCGGCAGCAAAAGCAGCGGCAGCAGCGACAGCAGCAGCGGCAGCAAAAGCAGCGGCAGCAGCGACAGCAGCAGCAGCAGCAGCGGCAGCAGCAGAGGCAGCACTCACGGCGTTCTGTTGCAGGAGCTGGTCCTCTGAGAGGCCGAAGAACACGTAGACGTCGTAGCACGACTCGCCTCCCACCACCTGGTATGTGCTGCTCTTGCCAGCTGCCGTGCCTGCATGGGGCAGTAAGACAGGGGTGGGTAAGACAGAAGTGGGTACGGAGTTAAGGGAGGGGACGACGGGGACAAGTGATATGGGTCAGATGGGAAGAACAGCAGCAGGCCTCGTGACGATGGACCAGGAGCATCAGCAGTAGTAGCAGCTGGGCCTGTCGACGGGACCTTGTGCTGGCCCGGGCAATGCTGGCCCGGGCAATGCTGGCCCGGGCAACGCTGGCCCATCTTCACAAGGTCTGCTGCTGGTCTGGTCTTTCCGAGCAGGAGCATCAACAGCAGTAGTAGTAGTAGCCTGCTGGTAGCACGACTATGTCTGCTGGCGTCCAGACATGTGTTCATGCAAGCACACACACGTGTTTTCAACGTCCAACGCACACAAACACACGCTGCGCTTTGTGTCCCAGGGGACAAACTCGCACAGGTGCAAGGAGGGCGCCTGGGGAAGAGGCTCACGTGGCACGCAGGTGGGCTCGCCCGAGCTGAGGGTGCTGCGCGCGTAGTTGGGCGGGCACACGCACGAGTACCCGCCCTCCCCGTCATTCACACACGCGCCCACGCCGCACGGGTTGCTCGTGAACGCCGCACACGCGTCCTCTGGGGGCAAGAGGGGAGGGGAGTGGAGTGGCGGGAGGAGTGGAGGGAGGAGAGGAAGGAAGGATTTGGAAGCAGAAGGGGAAGGGGGGATTTGTGGCGCGTGCAGGGGATTGCGTGGCGAACAAGTGTTCACAACCCTCCCCTTCCTCTCAATATCTCTAGGTGAATTCTGAGTCAACTAAAAAACCCCTTACCTGCCTCTACCCCTCCCTAACTATCGATCTATCTCCCCCCCACCCACCTCTCTAACCCTTTTCCCCCATCCCCTCTCCTCATCCATGACGCGTGCCTGGCTGCCTTCCTTGCTGATCGCAAGAATGTGCCACGGCCCGCACAGGCACCGGTACCCGCCGTACAAACGCGGGGTTTCGGCACTTCCCCTCCATTTCCTCTCCCTAATCTCTTTAGCGATCCCTTTCCTCTCTATCTCCCTAACCCCCCCTCCCTCTCCCTGTCTCTTGCGCTCACCCATGACGCATGCCTGGCTGCCGTCCTTGCTGATAGCCAGAGTGAGCCCCGGCCCACACAGGCACCGGTATCCGCCATACGAAGGCGGGGGGGGCGGGGGAGGGGGGCACGGCATGCTGTCAGGGGGGGTGGTGATGGGGGGAGGCGGGGAAGGAGGCTTTGGTGGTGGTGGGGAGTGTGGTGGCGGTGAGGCGATGGAGTATGCAGCATAGGACTTGGCTAGTCTGCCCGGGGGAGTGGGGGATCGCTGGGAGGAGGAAGAAGGGGCGGCAGGTGGAGTTGCGGAGGAGGAGGAGGAGGAGGAGGAGGAGGAGGAGGAGGAGGAGGAGGAGGAGGAGGAGGAGGAGGAGGAGGAGGAGGAGGAGGAGGAGGAGGAGGAGGAGGAGGAGGTGGAGGAGGAGGAGGAGGAGAAGGAGGAGGAGGAGGAAGGCGACGTGGGGGGAGGAGAAGGCAGAGAGGAGCTCTTGACGTAAGCAGTGCTGCTACCGCTGCCAGCGCTGCCAGCGCTGCTGCCTGCTGGTGGCTGGGAACGTGCTGCTGCTGCAGCCGCCCCTCTGATTTTCTCAAACGCCTTGCTGCTCTTCACAGCAGCCAGGATGGCTTTAGCTGCTGCCACCAGGGAGCTACTGCTGCTGCTGCTGCCGCCGCCCATCCCCAACAACACAGTAGACTTGATGCTGCTTGCTACCACCGCTCTGCTGCTGCTGCTGCTGCTGCTAGAGCCACTACTGCCAGTAGCGACAGCCTTACTGCTCACTTTCTTGGAGCTCGATCGTGTGGAACCTTTCGAGCTTGCTCCCTTGTGCCGCTGCTGCTGCTGCTGCTGCTGACGCTGATGGTGCTGGTGCTGCTGGTGCTGCCGGTGGTGCTGGCGGTGCTGGCCTCTAGTGGGATTGCTGTCGCTGGAAACCAGCTGCCGCCTGCTGTCCCCCTGTCCCTCACGCCCCTGCTCCTCTTGTGTCGCGCGCTGCAGGCGCGTGAGAGCAATCTCCAAGTTGGAACGGCGGGGCCAGCGAGGGGGGGGAGAGAGTGAGGAGGAGGAAGAAGAGGTGGTGAACATGGAAGAGGAGGAGGAGGATAAGGAGGAGTAGGTGGTGGTAGTGGCTGTGCCATGGCCGAGGATGCGAGTGGTGGCACATGCGCCCCCTCCACATGACATGCAGGGGTTAGACTGCTTCTGAGCTGTATCGTGGGGGGAGGGAGAAGGGGGAGGGTGAGGGAAGGAGGGAATGGAACCGGGGGGAAGAGGGGGGAAGAGGTTTGTGAAGCTTGTTGGTGGTGGATGAATGGATAGAGGAAGAAGTGTGTGCACACGCATTCAGAAGAGGGGAGGTGGAGGAGGAGAGGGAGGAGCAGGAAGAGGAGGGTGCGTAGTAGGAGTAGGAGCAGTTGTTTCAGTGGCTGCGGCAGCAGGTGGAGGCACTCACGGTCCAGCACGGGGTAGACGCCAAGGTTGTACGTCATGCCACAGATGCCCCCGTACTCCGCGCTCATGGCCACGCGCATGTACCCCGCCTCGCCCCACGCCGGCCCCCAGCTGTTGCGCAGCACGAAGTGGTTGGCGCTGGCGCCTGGCGTGCTGAAGCTGTACCCCACCACGAGGACCGCGTGGTCTAGGACAGGGCTCGCGGGGTTGAAGCATGTTTCGTCCGCGTAGAGACCGCCCTGGGGGGGAGAAGGGGCGGGAAGGGGAGAGAAAGGGGAAGGGGAGGGCGGATGGGAACGAGTTTGCGAGAGGGCGGGTTGCCGCGTGGGATGCTGTGAAGCGGGGTGGGGTGGGGTGGGGTCGGATGGGGAAGGGGAACAATCAAGCCATGTACAGTCGGAGTCGTTTTCACCAATAGCAGCTAGCGACTTCAGGGTTCAGGCTTCAGACGTCAGGCTTCAAGCTTTAAGCTAAGATCCCTCTGTGCTGGGGTGGGATCACCACATCTCCACATCACCACTCGGGAGCACCGTCCCAGAATCATGCCACGCACCCGGAACACAGTGCCGCCCACGCCCACCCAGCACCCCGCCCCGGCTAGCCAGCCAGCTCTCACCGTGTAGCCGGCGAACGAGGGGTGCGAGCCGTGCAGCGTGACTATAACGGGCTGCTTCTGCACGGCGAGGATGAGCCCCAGCGCGCCCGCCAGCGGCACCTGCTCGTACAGCTGGATGCGCAGCGCCGACGGCACCGTGTTCGTGTTGGCCGCCTGGTGGGGGGAGAGGAGGTGTGACAGTGATAATCGAGTTTTGAGACGCCTCAAACGCTCCTGCTCGTACAGCTGGATGCGCAGCGCCGACGGCACCGTGCTCGTGTTGGCCGCCTGGATGGGCAGGGCAGCCAGGAGGGGGTCGCCGTGCCGTTAGAAGGCAGGGGCAGGGGGAGGGGGCAGGGGAAGGGGGAAAGCGAATAGCGGAGAGGAGGGGGGGGGAGGAGGAAGGGGGGGCGGGTGGGGGTGGGGGATGAGGGAGAGGAGGAATGGATGTTGTGCGTGAAGCCTTGAGATGAAAAGGAGCAGCATGCTGTCGAACCAACGTAAAGTTCAGCTCCGTGCCACACCATTAGAGTGCACAGCACCACACACTATCATGCCACTGCGGAGGACCTCGCACAGGACGGCACACAGGACGGCACACAGGACCGCACACAGGAAGGCACACAGGACGGCACACAGGACCGCACACAGGACGGCACACAGGACGGCACACAGGACGGCACACAGGACGGCACACAGGACGGCACACAGGACGGCACACAGGACGGCACACAGGACGGCACACAGGACGGCACACAGGACGGCACACAGGACGGCACACAGGACGGCACACAGGACGGCACACAGGACGGCACACAGGACGGCACACAGGACGGCACACAGGACGGCACACAGGACGGCACACAGGACGGCACACAGGACGGCACACAGGACGGCACACAGGACGGCACACAGGACGGCACACAGGACGGCACACAGGACGGCACACAGGACGGCACACAGGACGGCACACAGGACGGCACACAGGACGGCACACAGGACGGCACACAGGACGGCACACAGGACGGCACACAGGACGGCACACAGGACGGCACACAGGACGGCCACAGGACGGCACACAGGACGGCACACAGGACGGCACACAGGACGGCACACAGGACGGCACGCAGGACGGCACACAGGACGGCACACAGGACGGCACACAGGACGGCACACAGGACGGCACACAGGACGGCACACAGGACGGCACACAGGACGGCACACAGGACGGCACACAGGACGGCACACAGGACGGCACACAGGACGGCACACAGGACGGCACACAGGACCGCACACAGGACCGCACACAGGACCGCACACAGGACCGCACACAGGACCGCACACAGGACCGCACACAGGACTGCACACAGGACCGCACACAGGACGGCACACAGGACGGCACACAGGACGGCACACAGGACGGCACACAGGACGGCACACAGGACGGCACACAGGACGGCACACAGGACGGCACACAGGACGGCACACAGGACGGCACACAGGACGGCACACATGACAGCACACAGGACAGCACACAGGACGGCACACAGGACGGCACACAGGACGGCACACAGGACGGCACACAGGACCGCACACAGGACCGCACACAGGACCGCACACAGGACCGCACACAGGACAGCACATAGGACGGCACACAGGACCGCACCGGCAGTACAGCAAACGGAGTCGCCACTCCCACTCCCCCATCCCATGCGACCTCGCTCTCCCGATCTTACCCCTGCTGGGCGGATCGTAGTCTGCGTCCCCACGTGCTGCTGCACGCCCGTCGCATTGCACGTCGCCTTCGTCGCACGGTACGCGTACGACGTCGCATAGCCCAGCGCGTTCGCCGTGACGTACTGCAGCGCGTCCTCCGGGTACCCGCCCGCGCACGACCCCACGGCGCAGTCCACCAGCTGCTGCGACGACAGCGACGAGTTCGGCGGCAGCTGCGCCGACAGCGCGTAGTACGCGCCCTCCACCGCGCCCGCCGCCGCGAACGCCCAGCACGCGCCTGGAAGGGGTGGCGAGCGGGAAAAAGGGGGGGGAGAAGGGCGAGGGGGAGCCTATTAGGTTGATGTGTGTGTGGGGTGTTGGGACGGGAAGGAGGGTGGGAGGGTGGGACGGCGAAAGTGCTGCACTTGTGCACTTGTGCACGCGTGCGTGCGTGCGTGCGCGCACATGCATCAATCGGGCAGAACTACTCACTGCATTGGCTCTGCACCTAAATCGGGCAAACGCACTCGCGGTAACTACGCATCTTACATCACTGCGTTGGCATTAACTACGCGAAGACAATCGGGCAGAACCACTCACTGCATTGGCCCTGGTCGCCGACGGGCCCGAACTTGTAGACGAGCGACGCGTTAGGCGGGAACTCCCACACTGGCTTGCCCGTATCGGGCGCGAACGACAGCCCCAGCGACAGGTACCGCGACACCGGGTTGAACGCCGGCTGCGCTGACAGCAGGTGCGCGCGCGGCGGGGGGATGCCGAGAGTGCGCCCGTCTGCGCGTGTATCGGGGGGGGAAAGGGGGGGGGGGGGGGGAGGAGAGTAGCGGAAGGCGAGGAGAACTGGAGGGGGGAGAATGGGAAAGCGCGGAGAACGAAATCGTGGGGAGAGGGAGAAGGCGGGAAAATCGCTTTGCTGGGGCCTTCGACTCTCTGACCTCGCGCCACTGTCCCTTCTGCTTACAGGGCATGCGCGGCTGGCGATAGGCGGAGGCGCCCGGCTTCCGCGAGTGTCGGCGCAGCCACCACTGCACAAGGCCCAGCGCAGTCAACCGGCGGAGCGGGCGGGGGAAGGAATCAGCGCGCGCGGAACTTCTGGAAGAAGCGGAGCCGTCGACGGGCGAGGGCCACGCGGGAGACCTGGCGGCATCTGGGGAATGGCGGGAATGGCGGGAATGGCGGGGATGGCGGAGACGGCGAGGACGGCGGGGATGGGGGAATGGAAGGAGAGCGGCGGAGTTGAGACTGGGGCTCCTTTGAAAAGCCGCGCGTCTAACAGCCACGTGCGCGCGCGTGTCGCGCGCGGAACAGCGGCGTACCTTCTACACGGGGAGTCGTAGTCGTCGTGGCTACAGACTGCTTCGAGAGTGACTGAGCGCGTGGCGCTACTGCGAGGAGGAGGAGGAGCCATAACAGCAGCACAACGGTAGTGACGGAGTTAGCCACGTGTCGAAAGAGGAATCCACAGTTCGCAGCGGAACGACCAGCGCATAGTAGTAAATGCGGCCGCAGACGACGGGCCACTCTGTTCCGCGCACTCATGGTTCCTGAGCGTTACTACAAGTTTGTGTTTAGGAACCAGCCTCCGTCCTTAGTACCAGCCACTCTCAGGAGGAGAGCGAACGGAGCCGTGAAAGGGGATGGTCTCTGGGGAGTGCGAGCGAGAAACCGAGGGAACTAAGGAGCCGCTGTAAGATAGCGCGTTTCCGTGTGTCTCTGTCGCCCACGTGATGGCTCTGGAGGCGGTGGTAGTTCGTACGCGATGCGCCAGGCGTTTGAAAGAGATGTGCTGGGAGAACCGTTGGTCGAAGATATAGTCATGGCATCTGACCGTCCTGCCCTTTAGGATTTTGCCGGCGTTCTAGAGACGCACCAGCTGAGCCAAGTGCAAGCTCTTGCGTTCTAGAGTCGCACCGCTGAGGTCCTGGAGGAGCGAGGGGATTTTCTCAGCGGCCTCAGGTACGAACGGAGTGATATATCCTTTCCTACCTGAGACGCAAAGCCATGGAATGGAAGCGAGGAAGCTGCAAGCTAGCTCTCAGTTCAGTACACAGTGATCTGCAGCACTGTGGGCGTTTGGAATGCGGCGTGACTGTTTCCGAAGCGCGGGAACACAACCAAAGCGGGTGAGCTGAAATGAAACGTGCGGCTAGTCTCCCGCCATGCCAAAAGAGAGCTGTTGCTGGTGCGTGGGGGTTGGGGAGGAGAGGATAGAGGAAAGGAGAGGCGAGGCAGGCAGGCAACAGTGTCGCTTCGATGTGTGGATGGGCTGGGGGTGGGGGTGCGAATGGATGGATGGCTCGCTGTACGCCGTACGATGGATGAACAAAATGAGCAGGGTGAATAGATGGATGGCTCGCTGCGCTCTGTCAGCGACATGCGGTGCGTTGCGCGACGCGATCAACAGTCAAAATAAGGATTTCCCCGTACAGCTCGGTACCAATTCGCGAGTGATGAGGTGTCAGCGGGGTTCGTGGAGAGGAGCACCGTGGTTTGGCGAGAGAGTAACCTGATAGTAAGAGGTCCGCAAAGCCTGACGACGGTGAGTGGATGATAAGTCGTTACATATCCACCTTGTCTATGCCCACTTAGAGTTACTTCTAGAGTTACTTCTACAAACTGTTGTGATATAGAAAGTGTAAATGGACTATAACGTGAAAATACAAGGTTGCTATTGCAAGGCACGAGGTTATATAGGGGTTGGCGTTCTAGGGCGATAACCTCAGAACGTGGGTAGGTTCGGCAACGTGGCGACAATGCCAGACGTGACTCGGGAAAGGGTTGGGCCGATAAATGAGGCCGAACGTGACGAGTCGAGGAGTTTGGGTGTACGCGCTAGCGTACGACTCAGTAAGGAATGGAAATTCCTTACACTACCCCCCCTCCTAAACGAGGCCGCGGGCATCGGAAACATTCCGACGCTGATAATACGCAATTAGAATCGGGTGTGATTCTAGCTCAGCGAGGGGCAGCCAGCTGTCATCTTCGGACTTGCGATTTCTGCCATCTGATGAGGAAATCCACCATCCGACGGTTCAGCTGCGTCGTAACTCGATGGCCGAGAAATTTCAAGGGCTCGGTCGTCGGTTCCTGCAGGGGCGTCAGCTAAGGTACACTGCGGTGGCGGGCCAAATCCGATGAACTGGGGACGTAGGGGCGTAGAAGGCTGACGTGGAAAGCTGGGGTGTGACGC